AAAGGAAATGTTTTAGGTTGCACTATTAGCTGGTTCCTGAGCAAGAGTCCACATGTTAAAATGGGGTAAGGTTCCTCATGAAGTCAACCAGTGGAAACATTGTGGGTAATCAGACACCGTTGGCTATTGCACAGATCCTGCAGTTGGCAACACTAGGCTGGCCTGACCCAGCTGCAGCAGGAAAGAGAAGGGATCCAGGGAGGGGTCAAAGACTACAGGGGTAAAATGATTGCAAAACTCTTGGGGCCTGGCTTTGGGTAATCCACCCTGGGTTCTTAAATTTGTTCTGTGTGTCTATTTCCTCCCTTTTCTGCTTCCTCCCCTCATTTCCAGCTTTGGGTCTTCCTAGCTCTCCAGAAATCAAGCTTGGGATCCCAGCTGTGCCTGGAGACATCCTGAAGAGGTTGAGGGGCTGAGGAGCTTTAGGGCTATGTCTACTCATAGCCAGAGAATTTTCCTGCTGTTTGGTGAGTTTTCAGATCAGGGTTGCTCGCTCTCTGCCCTGTCAGTTAAAGCTCATTTCCAAGGATATAAAAATGGGTAACAGTGATTGCCCTGGGAAGGATAATCTGGGGGACTGAGAAAAAGAAGACAATCTTTCTACAAGGCTGGTTTGAACCACAAGGTCAGTGGTTCACACTCACCAGCTGCTCCTTGGAAACCCTATATAGGGTTATTATGCGTGGGAACCAAGAACACTCAACAGCACTTAACAACAACAACCTTTATTGCATGTACCGTTTTTTTTTTTCTACTCTGTATATGTGGTTAAGCACTCAGCTGCTAACCAGTGGTTGGAATTCACCAGCCATTCCAAAGGGAAAAAAAAATGGCAGTCTGCTTCCACAAAAATTGACAGCCTTGAAAACCCTTTGGGGGCAGTTCTACTCTGTCCTACACGGTCACGAGGAGTTGGAATCAACTCAATGGTGAGTTGCTTGGGTTAATATGTATTTGCTTCATAAAAATGGAAAAAACAAGTTTTTTTTAAAAAATTGTTTTCCACACAATAAAAGCATATCTTTATAGACACCCTTGAGAGAGGCAGGGCAGGGATTGTTATCTTTTCTGACAAATGAAGAAATGAAAGCCCAAACAGGTTGAGTAATTTATTTCCTTCTAAGTGGACTCCTCTAGACACATACATTAGCTGTTGTTTACCTGTACAAACTGTCTGAGATCCCTTCTTCCCTCAACCCTCATATTAGCCATTCCCTCCCCAGAATCTATTGCTGTAAGATTTATATTTTTCCCCCTCAGCTTTTACACTGACAGAGCAGCTCGTGAATATCCCCTTTCACATCTATCCCCACCACCCTGTCATCCCCTCTGCCCTGTCTCAGTTCAGGACTCACCATTTGACACCTGGACTATTTCAAGGCCCTCATAACTGGGCTCAATTCTTACTCCTTCCAGTCCACAGGGCAGCCAGATCTATCATTTGATCCCTTTCAAAAACACTGTTCCATAGCTCTTCACCATCTACAGGATAAAATTCGAACTCTCTGAGAACAGCCCGATTCTCAAGGCCTCCTGGGATCTACCTTTTGCCAATCTCTCCTGCCTTATCTTCCATGCACTTCTTTGGTGCCATGTCTTTGCTTATCTGTTTCCTTTCCCTGTCTTCTGTACTCCTAAAATCCTACCAGGTCCATCTCAAATGCTTCTATCATGTCAATGACCACTCTCTGAATCCTGACATCAATTCCTCACTTCCTTTTTAAGCTCAGTAGCTCCTGGGTTGTCACCTTCATTGCATTAGAGCTGGTGATGAGTCTGAGTGCAGGGACTGGGTCTGAACCTCACCAAACGCTCAGCACAAGGCCTGGCCCTGAGTTGTTGTTGTTACGTGCCATCGAATTGGTTCTGGCTCATAGTGACCCTGTATAGGGTTTCTGAGGAATGACTGGTGAGTTAGAACCACTGACCTTGTGGTTCAAACCGACCTTACGGTCTGGTCCTTATCCTACGGCATCCCACCAAGACTGGGCCTCTGTAAATAATATATAGCTGAATGATTACTTGAACCATTAATTCCTGCTCCTGCTTTCCATTGGCCCACACAAGAGAAGAAAGAAAATATTTCTTTCCTGACATTTCTCAGTGGAGGAGATGGAAGCTTATACCTTCAGAACCTTAACTCAATGAGCCCGGATTCTCTTCCCTGTCTCCTCCCCAGACAAGATAGCACAACTTCTAAACTGTAGAAGACCCTGAAGGTCTTGTATAAAATGTGGGCCAATTCTATTGCTGTAATATTTATATTCTCCCCTCCCCCAACTTTTACATTTATAGAGCAGTTCATGAATATCTATTGTGGTCAGAACTATCACCTTTTCCAGGGAAGTGCCCTTATAGTTGTAATCATGGTTGTTAACTTTGATTCGCTGATAGCCCAACTTAATGTGGTTTTCCTGCCTGTCTTCTATGACTCCAGGAGAACAATGAAGCATTCTGCTTCGGCAAAGATTTTAAAAGCATCGGAAACTGTATATGGGATTGCTATGAGTCAGAACTGACTCAATGGCACTTAACAACAATAAAAATCTTATATGAAGGAGGCCTTTGGTATCATTCAGTGAACTCTGAGTGTTTGGCCTAAGGAGAAGTTCCCAAAATGACTACCTTTACTGGAAACCGTTGAGGGAAAGAGGCAGTCTCTTAAACTTGGGGCAAATATACAGACCAGAGCATATGATCTGAAGAGACACTCATTAATATTTTAAGGACATTCACACATTGCCCTTTAAATAAGTGCTGGAGGGAGGGGTGGCTGCACTAATAAAGCTTGTGGAGTGTGGTTGGTGGATGGGGAGCAGGCGACGGAGGCTTCCTGAAAGAAGTATGGAACACATTTCAAGAAAATGACCTGGGGTTTTTCAGAGGCTGAGATGTAAAGCTGTTTTTCTGTAGACTAAGGATTTCTGAGAAAAATTAAAAGAACCATTTATTATCACCTGCTCTGTGCCAGACATAAAGTGACCTTGTTTTAGAAACTAAGAAAGTTGAGGTTCATGGTGGCCTGTGTGTCTCTCTCTCTCTCCAACAGGTAAAACCCCAAACTTCGAGTGTGCATTTCCCTCTCCTTACCCAGTTCGAAGCCTTTCTTTTCCCTCTTCCCCAGTACATCCAGTGGTTATTAACCTCCTGTTGTTCCCCCAGTTACTTCCTTCCCAATAGAATGTCTTCAACTAGCTAGGGACACCAGAGTCTTTAGGACATAAAATACGTGAGAGGTCAAATAATCCAGCTTCTCACCTCTAGGCAGGGTGAAATCTAAGCCATCCCCAAGCATCTCCTAAATGGTGTCTATGGAGTAGGGGTAAAAATAACAGAGAGTTCAGAAGGAAACCATTCTAATGGTGCTGAACCGTCCTTCCAAGAGATGCCACAGAAGTGGAAAGAACACTGAACTGGTCACCAAATAGCAAAGCTCTATTTCCTCTAGTCTTTGTGATTGTAGAACAGCCACTTAATCTCTCTGGGTCTCAGTTTCCCCACGTGCAAGATGGAAATAATTACATTAAATAATACCTAAGGTCCTCTGGAGTCGATTCCGACTCCACGGCACACAGCCACCACCACCACAAGGTCCTCTGGAAGGAGCTCTGGCAGCACAGTGGTTACAAGTCAGGCTGCTAACCTCAAGGTCAGCAGTTCAAAACTACCAGCGGTTCCGCGGGAGAAAGATGAGGCTTTCTGCTCCTGTAAAGATTTACAGCCTCAGAAACCCTATACAGGGTTGCTATGAGTTGGAACCAACTCCACGGCACACAGCCACCAGCCTCCTCTGGAGTTTTGGTGTGGCATTGTAGGAAAAGCACTGGACTGCTAACCAGAAGGTCAACAGTCCAAACCTACCAGTCACTTTTGGAGACTCTATACCGAGTCCCGGAGTCCTGGTGTGGCACTGTGGGTTAATGCACCAGACTGCAAAGCTGCTTGAACTGCAGGTCGGCGGTTCAAGCTCACCAGCTTCTCCTCGGAAACCCTATACAGGGTTGCTATGGGTCGGAGTCGACTCGATGGCTCTTAACAACAACAACAACAATACCGAGTCCCTGTACAGGGTCTCTATGAATCAGAACCGACTCTAAGGCACATAACAACAACAACAACACACCGAGTCCCTATGACTCAACAGGTCCTTCTAGTCTAAAGTTTTTGAGTTTATAGAATTCAAAGAAAGGAGGGATTAACAGAAACCCTATACAGGGTCACTATAAGTCGGAATCAACTTGATGGCACTTAACAACAACAACAACATAACAGTCATGGAAGGCTTAGTCCACAAATACTTATGGGACACCTATAGGATGCTGTCGTTGTTGTTAAGTGCTGTTGAGTAGGTTCTGATTCATAGCAACCCTGTATAGGTTCTCAAGAAGTGGCTGTTGGGTTTGAACCGCCGACCATGCGGTTAGCAATCCAATGCTTATCCTACAGCAGCACACCAGGCCTCCACAGGGTGCTGTCACAAGTGTTGATATAAAGCAGTAAGTAAAAGAGCAATGGGGGCAGTGGTGATTTCGTGATAGAATTCTTACCTTGCATGCTGGAAGGTCCAAGCATAGCCACCACCCATTTGTCAGTGCAGACTTGTGTGTTGCTATGTGGCTAAACAGATTTCAGCAGAAATGTTAGGCTAAAATAGATTAGGAAAAAAGGCCTGGTGATCTACTTCCAAAAATCAACCAATAAAAACCCTATGGATCACAATAGTCCTATCCTGTTGTACATGGAGTTACTATGACTCAGGAGCCAACTCAATGGTAGTTAACAGCAACAAAAGAAATACGGTCTCTGCCTTCACTGAGGTTGCATCTAGAGGAGAAGACAGACAAATAAGGGAGTAGTTAGAACACACTGTGATGCTGAGACTTTAGCTGGGGTCAATAGGGTGTGTGATCATTATAGCTGCAGGTAACAGAATCTATCATCTCTTTTCTCTCAGCACCAGAGCATCCTCCAAATTTTCCTTTACCTCAATCCCTGTTGCTATGAAGACCACCAATGGGACTGAGACATTCTACAAGAGTCTGTACACTGTGCTGAAAGCCTTAAATGAAACACTCCACAGCAACTTGCTCAGCCGTCCAGGACCAGAGCCAGACAACCAGACTGGGAAACCACAGGCCAGAGTCCCTGGCCGTGATGACAATTCCTACATGTACATTCTCTTCGTCATGTTCCTATTTGCTGCCACAGTGGGCAGCCTCATCCTGGGATATACCCGCTCCCGCAGCAAAGTGGACAAGCGCAGTGACCCCTACCATGTGTACATCAAGAACCGTGTCTCTATGATATAATCTTTGTAGGCTGAAGATGGCACTAGATCAAGACACTTGAGGCTTGTCTTTTGAGGCCTCTAGAACTCAGATGTAGACACATCAGGTGTTGGAAGAAATGCAAAGGAAGGTCATCATGGGGAGGAAAGAGAGAGGCTGACAGAGCTGGGTCATGTAGATAAGGACTGTGTCCAGGCACACATATAGACAGTAGGAGCCCCATGAACAATCATAGAAATACAAAGGATAATGACCAATGAATGACTAGTCCAGTGGCTGGAGTCTTGGGGCATGAGGATCGGAGAAAAGAGAAGAGGAAGTTATAGTAGAGGGAACTGAAATAGGAAGATGAACTAGGGACATTTTTTTGTGTGTTATCTTCAACAGCTATGAGAAGCAGTGATGATTACCCTATCAATATAGAATCTATTTCTTCACACAGTTACTAAATCTGTCTTTATATTTGTTCACATTTCATGGTTTGTTTGTTTTTTAACACATTTAACATTTGTGATTTTAATCCCCTGTGAGGTAGGCAGGGTAAGTGCCATTTTTCTCATCTGGGCCTAAGTGGTACCATGCTTAGAATCCAAGCCCTGTGCTTTCTGAAACTCTCATCTCCTTGCCCTGTGCTTTCTGAAACTCTGCTCTTCATAAATGTGGATCCAAGCCTTGTGGGACCTGCTGCTTATATAATTCCATGGATCGTCTTTAAGAAAAAGGAAGAAAAACGATATTATATTTATAAATATTACAGAAATAAACTCATTAAATCCACTGCCCTAGAGTGATTCCAACACATAGCGATCCTATAGGATAGAGTAGAACTGCTCCACTGGGTTTCCGAGAGTGTAAATCTTTGCAGAAGCAGAAAGCCTCATCTTTCTCCTGCAGACCAGCTGGTGGCCCAAATTGCCAACCACTGTTCAATGCTTGTCCCACAGAGCCACGATGCTCCCTACAAAAACATATCATCCTGCTAATACACTGCTAGAGCCCTTCTGAAGGCCTTAGGATGGAGCCCATGCAAGTATGGGGCCCTGAATATTATACCTCACTAGCTTCATAGCTCTGTGGTTCACCTACCTCTTGAGCTATCATATTATGGTGCCCTTCTGAACCCAGATCCTGTGACTTCACTATCTCTAAAACAGCCCCTTCCATTTAGATTGAGTTTTGATTGTGAGACATTCTGATACTGAGTTGAAATCTGCTTCCTTGAAGCTTCCATTTGTTGCTCATAGAAGATGACACTGAAGGAAGCAAATCCTGAAATGCAGGTACATGGTTCAGTGAAAAGAGATTCAGCCCTGGTTCTACTACTGATGTTCTGTGTGACCTTGAACTGGACACTTCCTCTCCCAGGTCCTTTCTCCTCTTCTGTCTAATGAGATAGTTAGATTTGAAAGTCTCTAAGGGCCCTACTAGTTCTGACATTCTAGGCTTCATGTACATGAAGTTAAACTACAAGAAAATGCTATTTTTGTAGGTCAAAACCAGGTAAATATGAGTGGTTTCATAGGTTCAATCTAAATCCATGTCATGTCATGTGGCAAGTGAAGACTTTATAAGCCATTTGCTCTAAATCCCAGATCTGTACTTCTCATGGTTCTCTTTGTCAGTTCTCAATCTAAAGAATTTCCACAGGGTCTCTAGAAAGTCCCATTGAACACTATATATTTGTGCATTGCAAAAGCTGAAAGAATGTATCATTAGCAGTTATTTCTGAGGAGTAGAATTATGGATGATTTCCTCTTTCAACTTCATACATTTATGTAATATCTGATCTCCTTCAACTTTATACATCTATGTGTACATTATCTGTTTTATTTAATCATAAGTATGCTGTTGTCGTTAAGTGCCATTGAGTTGGTTCCAACTCATAGCGACCCCATATAGGGTTTCTGAGGAGCCCAGCCTGTGGTTAGCAGTTCAGTACTCATCCTAGAGTGCTACAGCAGGATTCCACTGTAAATACGTTACTTGAATAATAACAACAACAACAAAAACCTATTTCCACTTCGAAAAGATTAAAATGTGTTTTCTGAATGGAGTATTACAAACCACTTGCTTCTATCAGCCGCTATGTTGGCTCTGTGCAAATCTGTGAGGAGCCCTTCCTTATTGATGCTAGAGGGAGGAAGTGGAGACCTGCTGAAGGAGAGGTAGTGTATGGGAAGACAGTGGATTCAGAAGCCTACAACTGTGTGGGGCTTTAGACATCACCCAGCCCCCAAGTCCCCAATACGATATGGAATGCAACCAAGTATAAGAATGACCGGTGGTGAGGTTCTGAGAAACGAGAGTCCATCGAGAGGAGTCAGAAAGTGGGACTTGCAATACCTTTGAGAGAACAGAACTAAGTGGGCAGAGGGATTGGGAGATTAGCGTGCCACAGGGAACAAGTCAAGAAAGGGAAGCCTCAGGGGCTAAACCATCAGAAGACTATCAGGTGAAAACAGGCGGAGGCGTAAGAGAAGCTGCTCTACCCCTCAGTATCTCCATCTGTGGAGGAGGCCCCCTCCACAGTCATCCAAGTACATGGGGCCTAATAATAAAAGTATTTTGTTTACAAGTTACAGAAGTCCAGTGTGTATTAGCATAAACAAAAGAAGGATTAATTGAGAGTATTATAAAGTAGCTCACAAATTCAAAAGAGTTGCAGGCACCAGAGCAAAGCTAGGGAGCTCAGGACCTGGACCTCCTTATTGGTAGCAATGTACAAGGTAAGCACTCTTTGTATCTCATTCCACACACCCAGGGTTGGACTAAATACAATTCTAGGATTTTAAGACAGTATAATTTTTTAAATAGTCTATGAGGTAAGTACTTCCCTCAGCCCATTTCCAGCTCCTTGCCCACCCCACCCCCTCATTGTCTAGGCGCTCTAACCCACAGCGTTGGTCTGATCATAGCATCATTTATCTGCATTGGTCTGCCCTCTGCTGGCCAAATCCTAGCACATCATCCTTAGCCCTCAAAATTTCAATAATCATTCATTCAAAAGGTATTTATTAAATGACATGACTCATTTAAGCACATCTGGGACACATAAGTGAGCACAAAAGAATAAATAAACTTCTGCCCTAATGCATTTACTATTTACTGCATATCAAGGAGCCCTGGATTAAGAGCTGGGCTGCTAACTGCAAGCAAGGCCAGCAGTTTGAATCTACCAGTAGCTTTGCGGGAGAAAAATGAGGCTTTCTGCTCCTGTAAAGATGTACAGCCTCGGAAACCCTATACAGGGTCTCTGAGTTGGCACCGACTCCACGACACACAACCACCACCAATCACCATATATTAGGCACTGTTGTTGTTGTTAAGTGCCGTCGAGTAGGTCCGACCCATAGCGACCCTGTATAGGGTTTCCAAGGAGCGGCTGATGAGCTTGAACCGCCGACCTTGCAGTTCAAAC